GGATTGCAAGGGGACAGCCCTGGCGAGAAGCTCCTCCCTGCTCATTAGCCTCCATAAAACAGGAACTCACCTTGGCTAGCTGTGCTTGGAGTCCCATCCGCTTCTCGGTCACTCTTGACACTGGAACTCAGATGGAAGGGCTTTTGCTTGCTTCAGGACATCAGACCTGCTTTTGAACTGGACTATTTTGGCTCCCTTATTGAGAACTCTGGTGGCTCTCCTGGCTGTGTGACTTCCTAGACTCCACGTTTCATGGAAAAATGCAAGTTTTACCAGGTAGGTGCAGCTCTCCCTCCTATTCCATCTCGCGCAGAAAGGTCTTCGATTTATGCCAAAAGTGTGCAATAATTTTAGACAGAGAGTAAGTGCTCCTAGGGATACCAGTGCTTTAATTGTGTGACTAGAGATAACAATAATTGTTATCATTACTGGAGTTTTGAGTGTTCTTTGTGAGCCTTGGAAGACGTTTTGCAAGGCAGTAGGTGTCCACTCACAGCTGTGCCCAAAATTCCCTTATTTGTATCGCCTTGTGCATTATAATCCTGAAGGATAGAGCTTTTATCTGCATATTGTCTGTGAAGTGGTGTAAGTTCCTTTGGGTTGAAGGCCACAGAAGGTTAGGAAATATTCCTTATTTTGCTAAGAGCAATTCAGATGCAAACTGTCTTTTTTGTCTATCCCTGTCTTTTTTCTGCCCTTTGAAAGTGAAAACCCGAAGGACACATAGCCTTCAATTTCTACCATCTTTTTATGCCCAAACACAGTATCTTTTGTTTCCATAGGGTATTATTTACGTTTTTCTTCATCAGTCCTTCTCTTAACATACTATTAACCTCTTCTCTGTGGGACATGATCAGACTGGGCATGATGACAGATGTGCACTGGGAAACTGAGGACCAGACCAGAGGCACCACATTTGTCAGTGTAGCTGAAACCCAGATTTAGCCCAGTGTTTTCCAATGCATTGCAAGGAAAAGACTGCTTATGTAGCTCAAGCATGCAGTTCACCTACACTGAGAGGTGGCCGGGTATTCTCAGCTTTTTTTCTCTCTTCTGTTGTAGTGTTGTTTCATGGGCAGAATACACGTACAGTCACTCAGATAACTGCTACCTTCACCATGGTTTTGGGGTTTTGTCAAACCTTCCATAGGGTACAGATTCATGCTGCCACATCAAGAGAATTTTGACTTAAGAAGCAACAGTGCAGTCCCTCACTGTGTTAAAGATTCCAGCTGTTTCAGAAGTTACCTCATGTTCTTATGGAGTCATTTTTGGTGCACGACCCTACACAGCAGAAATAGGACTGCGTGCCTTTGAGAGGTGAAGCTGTAGCACTAGTAATGCTTCTGTTAGAGCCAGAATCTTTGTGTTCTGGGAAACAAGGTGCCCTCCAAAGTGTGGAGGTGTTTCTTGGCGCTTTTAAGGTCAGAGAACATGGGTTTCTTTGGCCGTTGTCAATATTAATATATCCAGTAGCTTTATATATGTTTGTGTGTTCCTTCCCTGAGGATTCTAGGTAGCTGTTCACATTAGGCTTCTTCACGGAGACAAATTCAGCATCACCCAATTTACTCTCATTTCCCTTCCTCTCCTTTCCATCACCAAAGTAGGAAAAAGGTATATGCAACCTATTGTAGTAATAAACCAAAGCACAGACTGCTCTTATTTGTATCAGGACTTTAAAGAACAGCGTGGTATTGAGTGAGGATCTCTTAATTTTCAGTGCTGGCCTTTATCATAGCAGCTGTCTTCCCTTCCAACCTCATGAAGTGTATGTTTTAGAACGTGCTACATGCAAAATGGTAACAGCAGTGATTGGTTTTAAGGTAACGTAGAACTAAAATTCTTGGAAGATGTTTAAAGCTCTCTGAAACCATTCTTACAATAAAAACTAAACTGCATAGAAGGGGAAACATCGGAAGTACAGACTTAATGCAGTTCAGTGCTTGGACACCTCACTGCAGACATCTTTGTGCTGTAATTCCAGAGTCTTTGTGGATCTGAGCATGGCTCTGAGGTTAGCTGAGTCGGCATCGACTGGGAGTGAATTCAGAGCACCTTGCAGGCCAACTTTTGGCTCTGCCAGGCAAATCTGAAGTCTGTCCTGCGAAAGGATCCATCACTGCAGACTCCCATTGAAGCCAATTGATGTGACTTTGTGGCAGCTGTGTGCCTCTGTTAGCAAGCTCGTAGCTTTGTATGCAAACTGTTCATGTCCTGTTTCTCAGCCTCAGACAGGGCACACAAAACCTGTGACAAGAAGGACGTTAGCAACATTTTAAAGTCTTTGCTGCAGTGTTTGTGTGCCTGGCTCTTGGCCCTCGTCACTCATACAGGTTCATTGGTGAAACCAGGTTACAACATCTGCCTTTGATTTTTAATTCAGTATAGAACTTTTGCTTTAGTTCCTTTTGATTTGTTTGGAAGTCTCTCAGTGAGGACCCCCGAGATCTGCCTTGTTGCAGGCTCATTTAATGGCTTTGGAATTTGCTTACAAAAATGTTAATTGTAAAATTCATTTGGGGGAAGGAGTGAGCATCTGTCGAGCTAATCAAAATCTGTTTGCATGTATTTGTGACTGCATGACTCCTGTGGGAAATCAGCCTGATTTTATTGTAACTCCTTTTGATACATGCGCTGCGCTGAGCTCCCAGTGCATCGTCTGGTGGCACTTTCATGTCTTTGCAAGAGGATATGAGGGAAGCTTTAGTAAGAAGATGTTAACAGGCTAATCTTAGCGGGCAGACTAGGTGTCACTTCTTAGCCAGTTCATTAATGTCGGATCAAAGCAGAAAAAAGGGTAAAGGCAATTTTTTTTTAAATGCCTGAAGACCTTTACAGATTGACAGAATTATGTGTGTTTCTTAATTCCTGATAGAGGAGGCTAACATCAGGTTGCTTTTGTGGACGTGTGTCACTTTCAGGAAGAAGCTGTTTTCTCTGGAAATTGTTGCCTTCTTTCCATGACTGTTCTCTTAAAGGTGTGACCCAGGGGGAAAAAAAAAAAAAAAAAGGAAAAAAGATAAAATCCCTTATTTCTGATGTGCTCTGAATAAAATTCAATCCAAGCTAATAGGCAGAGAAGTTTCTGTCTTTAACAAATAGCCAAGTGTGGCTGATAATGCATGGCCAGGAAAGCTGACAGCTGTGTGCTGCTGAAGAGAGCACCTTCCACATGAGCATCTTGGTGATCTCCATATCTCCATCTCAAGTCTGGTTAAGACCATTCTTTTCTTTTTTCTTTTTTTTTTTTGGAATATTCAGCTCTGTCTCTTCCCTTTTTTGTCTCCTCTCACATGTGAACCTCCCCTGTCTGCCCCTTCATAGTCCTCTGCAGTGATTTTCTACCTCTGCTGCCAACCAACTATCTGTTGTTTTCTCCCCTTGCCTGCTGCTACACTTAAAATATTTCCAATCCTTTCAGCTTTCATTTTATTCTTTTGGTGAAGTGTTTTGTGTAACCTGTTCATACCAGAACAGGAGAAAAAGCAGATTGTGGCTACCCACCTGTCTGACTTGTAGGATAAAAGAATTAGGCTGGGTTTGTATAACACACAAATCTTTACAAAAGAACTTACCAGCTAAAGCCAAACCTGTTGAGCAAGCCTTTATGTCTTTTGAGCCTTCTAAGCAACAAGAATAGCCTTGGAGGGAAGATAATGGATTTTGCTTTAGAGAATTGTTGTGGCACTGGCTCTTGGCATGCTTCCTGGGTGAAATCACAACATTCACTTACCTGAGCTGAACCAGCGCTGTACGCTGCGGTGATTTGGGGCTGACAAGTCCCAGAGGAGCATATGGCCAGAGCCCATCTGTTACAGCAACGTGTGGAATTTGGTAGCTTTGGGTACTGGAACTGGGAAGGCCGACTTGAGTGCTGCTTCCTAGAGCCCGATGGGTGAGCAGGAGAAGCTGTTCTGTGCCTGTGCCCTCCTGCCCATCTGAAATCCCTGTTTTCTCTCTCCCTGGTAGACATTAAAGCACCATGTGAAGCACTTGCATCCCCCAGCCTGGAGCCCTACCCGCAGAGCTCCATCACGGTCACCCTGGAGGACATGGGTCTCTGGATGAAGTTTCATCAGATAGGGACAGAGATGATCATCACCAAATCTGGCAGGTGAGGGGACCAGGACAGCTGCCCACGCCGCTCCCTTCTAATCTGTTTGCAAAACTCTGAGCACTCTTATTTCACTTGGTGACCCTCAGACTTGTAGTCAGTTGTTTGCATCTCCCTGCCTCTGGCACATTTTCAGGCAGTCCTGAAGATCCAAACTGCAAAGTGCAAAAGGTCATCGCGGGGCTGATGTGCTGAGAAATCTCCTCTGCTCTTATCTCAGTACTTAACACTGATGTTCTTCCTGTTGCTGTGCTGTTGCTCTGGGAAGTGCCCTGGGCTTCCTTTGCCTCGGTCACAGGCAGCAGCATAGGAGCAGTCAATACCTGGTGTTAATTCTGCATTTGCAGATGAAAATATGGCATATAATGCTAAGCAGGCTATTCTAAGTCTGAGTCATGTTGGAGCTTGTGGTGAAAGAATACAAAATAGGGACGTTTTGTGTCAAAGCTGCTGGGAGCTAAAGTAATCCTGCTGGTAAGAAGGGAGTGTTGAGGCTTTTCTGCAGAGTCAGAAGATGAAAGTGGCAGTGGGGAATGCTGGAATGGAAAGGAAGATGTGCTCCTAGGTGTGCACAGCCCACGCTAGAAAATGCTTTAATCTGTGCTCCCGGTCTGTGGTAGCTGCATGAAGCAGCTGCATGCAAATTCCACTTCTTTTCTTTAAGTTTTCCACTGCTGCAATGCAGGAATTGGAGGCACAAAAGCGATAACAATGTCAGGCCATTAAAGAATGCTGCCATGTTAGTGCCTATTCCACCTAAACCCATGGGACTGGATAATCAATACATCAGTGAGATTGTAAAAATATTTGGTAGCTGGCCTGTACAAATACCACTACCAGAACTTTGTGCAGCAGTGAGTAAACATGACCTGCTGCTTCTGTAGGTCGTTAAACAGCATTTGCTAAGTACAGAAATTCTTACATTCATTTCTCCTTCAGACGAATGTTTCCACAATGCAAAATCAAAGTCTCTGGCTTAATCCCATATGCCAAGTACCTCATGCTGGTGGATTTTGTGCCTGTGGACAACTTCAGGTACAAGGTAAGCACTTTAGATGATAAAAGTTATGCTTTAATTCCATTTTTGTTTGAAATAGATTAATCTTTATGCTTCAGTGGCCAGGCTGATAAATAAATAGTCTTTGGACGACATTCAGAAGTAATTGGTGGATTTTCTGCCTCTCTGGAGCTATTTGTCACTTTTGCTTGGGGAGCAGCTGAAAAGGTAACTGATCTCCGTTGTAACTGGTACAGTTTTGATCATGATTAATGTCAGACTTCTTTGATGGCCACTGGGAAAAAGGGAGAAAAAATGAGGCCCAAGCTTGGAGCTGTTTTGGTAAAACAATCATGGCTCTCAAGAGATAATCTGCTGCTTGTCAGGATTGCATGCCTCAGAGGAATCCTCCACATCAGACAGAGAAGCAGAGTTGCCAGGGCTATTTAAAATAAGTCACTTTTTAAGCTCTAGCTTTCCATCTTTCTCTTCACAGTGGAATAAAGATCAGTGGGAAGTTGCTGGAAAAGCAGAGCCCCAGCTCCCTTGTCGCACCTATGTCCACCCGGATTCCCCAGCTCCTGGCAGCCACTGGATGAAGGAACCTGTCTCTTTCCAGAAACTGAAGCTCACCAACAACACTCTGGATCAACATGGGCATGTAGGTTGTTGCTGGCCTTTGTGCCACGCTTTCTTGGAATTCATTGCAGGTCGGTGTAAAGTGAAATAAGTGTGAACATCAGATCATGTGGAAATTAAAAAGATATCCAAGTGCCCTCTCTTCCTTCCTCAGTCCAGCCCTCCTACCTGCCTGCTAGGGAAGGTGCTAACCCGTGCTGTCTGTATAACTTTGCTCAGCATGTTAGCAGCAGTTGCACATGGAAATCTTTGCCTTTGTCTCTGTGCCAGATCATCCTCCACTCCATGCACCGTTACAAGCCTCGCTTCCACATCGTGCAGGCAGACGACCTCTTCAGTGTTCGCTGGAGCATCTTTCAAGTCTTCAGCTTCCCTGAGACTGTCTTCACTTCTGTTACAGCCTACCAGAATGAGCAGGTAGCGTGCGAGTCCAAAGCGTTGCTAAGTACTTTGTCCTTAGAAATCTTGCATAGGAAGGTGTCTCCTCCAGAGCAAATTAACTTGGGTGTCTGTGATGGATAAAGGAAGAAAAATAGGCAAAATATGATTCTTGCAGAAAATGTCTAGTGAAGGATGGCATTAATTGTGCATATTAATTGCATTAAGTGCACTGTCAGTGACTAACAGAATCCCAAAGGTAGCAAAAAGTACAGACAAAAGTCCAGATATTAGGTATTCACCCTTTATATTTCTCTAGTTACGTGAATCCCATCTGAATTCCCACTGACCCTGGGAAAGTCAATTCTCTCTGCAACTCACTCATAGAAGGAACTGCTGGGAGAGCTCAGATACTGTGCCAGGGGCATCCTCCAGCCCCCTGAAAAAGCTGTTGTAGTAAATACCAATCTGAAGATCTTGAAATAATGAAGATCCCAACCAGAACTGAATCCTGGTCCTTTATTTTAAGATCACAAAGCTGAAGATTGACAACAATCCATTTGCTAAAGGTTTCCGGGAGCATGGGAAGAATACTCGAAGGTAAACTGTTTTTTCATCTCAACTTATGTATAACATGAGTTTATCTGAATTATATCCAAGTCCATGCAGCAAAATAGAGCAGCTAGCTCTGCAGAGCATTTTGCTTTGCACATTGCATTTATTTGTATATGGGAGTGATGCTGTGTAGCACCCCCCAGAGACTTGGGGAACGGGAGGAAACAGAATTTCCTACGGAAATATGAGAGATGTGACAGATCTGAGACCTGCATTCCATTGCAAATTGGGTCTAGATTGCAATCTGGTACATTAATAGCAGTGATAAAGAGAGTCCACAGTAGATCCTTCTGTCCCTGTGAGATCAGCTTAATTCTCACGTTGGAAGACTCTCACATCTCCTTTCCTCTTGTGTGGAAAGTTGTCTCTACCAACAGGAAATTTTGTCTGTGGGATGGAGGTTGGATGCCATCAAGATGAGATGAGATGGTAAGATGATCTGTCTGCTCTGAGGGCAGCCACTAATTAATGCTGGAAGAAATAACCCTGAAGGAAACCTGTAGACTGGTAATAAAGAGTTTTCCAACCAGAAAATGGTATAAAAATATCTGAGATTTTGTTTTGCGTGCATGAGAAGAAAATCTTATTTCCTGATGAAAAAAGCCAAAAGTGATTCTTTTTGAAAATGTCAGGGATGTTCTTTCTGCTCTCAACAGGACTGTTTCTGACTAAGCTTTGTGTTATTGTCCACTTTGGAAAAAGGCTGCTTTCAAGCAAAATGCCCACCGTACGTATGCCTGTATGTAGAGAATGTGCATCCAGCTTTGGAGTATGCTTACAAACTGTGCTGAAAGCTCCAGAGCTGAGATTTCCATGCTATTTTTGACTTTTGTACAAGCAAGAAAGGGGCAGCAACTCCCTTTCCAACTTATCCCCAGTATTCTGTGGGGTGAGAGCTCTCCTGGAAGCACATGCAGCGTTGGTTAACTCCACGATTCCACTCTGGCACACATCATTCCCTGTGGACCTGTCGTGTTGGTTTGCAAGAGGGTGTAACATGCAGAACATCAGAGCTGTTCATCCCACCTTTTGTCTTCCCAGGCCTTTGTCCTGCATCCCTTGCATGCTTATCTAGGTAGAAAGCTAACTTACGACCTAGTCCTGTGCACTGTTTCTTTCCCAGGGAAGGACGAGCCAAATCCCAGAAGCCAAGTCCAGCCAAGGGCCAGAAGAGAAAACTCCCAGAGGAAAAGGAGTCTGGTGCTGAGGAACGTGGTAATTTTAACAAGAACAAACCCAGAGTCAGTCACAAACTGTGCCTAAACCACAGGGGGGATAAGAGGCAGTGGCATACCTCTGATGTTCCTCACTGGGGAGAGAGGTTTGGGCAGAGTCCCTAAAGGCTGCTGCATGCATCTTTGCGAAGCTAGAAAGTGGTGCTCACTCCCTAATTCAGGGAGACAGCTTTTAGGAGAATGAGCCAACAAATGAACCCTCTGAGGCCTTTGCCTCTCTTAATTTCTGCCTGCAGTCTCCACACGTGCATTCAGTTTGTCTGTCTCAGGATTAAGTCTCTGCATATGGTCCACAGGAGCCTGCTCACATCTCCTGTCATTAGTGACTGCTCCCCAGCTCTGCTGCTCCAGCCTTGCTTTGTGATTGCATGTGATTGAGGGCTGTGCTCTCATAATGTTTTCTCTTCAACAGTGACACCATCTTGCAGTGTCACCCATGGCTTTCTTCTGCCTGTCTGCCTTGGTTCTTGTCTGTGCAGTTGTGTCAACCCTGGTGCTTGTGCAGCTGTGTTGTGATGCAGATAGGGAACTGATCTCATTTAAAAATGATCTTTACTCTTTCTGCTAGGTTATCTTTAAGGTTGATCATTCCTTGCAAGGGTGAGGGAATGGGGCAGAGCTGAAAGCCACAATGTAAGAGCAGAAAAAAGCAGCATAGGGCTAGTTCTTTAAGTCCTTTAAGGCAGTGTGGCTGCAGAAGAGGTAATGGTGTGTTTCCTTCCCCCATCCTGCAGTTAATTCATCTGCTAATAGAACACTGTGAGCTCCCACCCTCTCTTCCCCATTCTCACTTTTTTTCTGTTCTTTCTTTCCCTACTGTGAGTCAGATTTTGAGAAAGATGAGAATGTGGATGTGAAGGAAGAGAGTAACCCCATCGTGGTCAGCAGTGGATATCCCTTCTGGATCTCAGAGCAGAACAGCAGCCATGCCTTTCCTGCAGCATCACCAGTGCCAGCTGAACAGAGGGAGGGTCCAGCCAGGGAGCAGCAAGTGCCCACACCATCCTACCAGACATACCGGTGAGTCCTGTCTCCTGGTGCTCTTGTCATAAAGCCACTCTTTAACTGATGAGATTCCTCCTCCTTTATAGGTTATTTCCTAAGGAAAAATAGCCAGTGTGAGTGAGAAGGCTGTTTTTCAGTTGATGCCACACTTTTGTGATAGGTGCTAGATCAGTATGGAGATGTCTCTGTAACAAAGCCTTTCTGTTTTATGTGCATTCTGAGCATATTCATGTTTTAGTAGTGCTCTTTATTTCCCTATGCTGAAATGCTTTCCTACCCAACTCCATGTAACAGAACTTGCCTGTCCTTCGGGGGAGTGGAGGACTTCAATGATTGTTCCTTCCTTCCTGAGTTGGAGTGAGTGGGCTTACCTTCTTTTGGCACTAAATTTTTCAGAGTGAGCAGGTCTTGGACTAAAACCCATTTTTACAGTAAGACAAAGCTGTAGATATGGGAGAGTTAACGTGCCATAAGCCAACACGTGAAGTTGGAGAACCCTTTTCAATATGTGTGTAATTCCATTGGAGTACAAGATGGCTCACCTGGCTTTCCTGCAAGCATCTTCACATGATGAATGAGTGTGAAATAGCTGACACATTGAAAATTCCCACCCCAGGCCAAGTCTTCTAGGTACAAGGCCCTCGCAGGGAATACAAAGAGCTAGGTTGTCTTTGTAAGGTGTGCTTGTTTTGAATGGAAAGCGGGTGTTTGAAATGGCAGGGGAAGAGGGCAAGCTCTTTCCCTGGGGATCTGTGTGGGTTGTCAGTGGTTTTCTGCTGCGGTGGGTTTGACTCGCTGCTCTCTCTGCCCTGGGGAACAGGTTCCACGAAGCTGGGGACAGCCAGCAGCTCCCCAGCCGCGACGTCGCCGCCTTGAACGACTTCCGAGCGAGGTGCCACCCCTTGGATCTCGCCTCAGTGCCTGAGCACGATTCCAAACAGCTCCCAGAGGGCTTCACCAACCTGCCTCCACTGCCCCCACCTCTGCCCCCTCCCCAGGACTACACCGGAGTGGTGAACATGGCTCTGGACTCAGTGGGGAAACCTGGAGCTCGAGCGCCCGTGTACAGTCCTTATGGCACTGAGCAAGGCCTTGGGCAGTGGATGGTGCCACCCCACAGCCAGTACAGGGCGATGAGCTACTCAGCCTTCTCCACAGATTACAACACACAAGGGGCTTCGGGACATGCCCACGGGACCATGGCAGAGTGGAGCCAGTACCCACTGTTCCCCTATGCCTGCTGGTGAGCAGGGAGGATCCTTCCCAATGAAAAGACTGAAAGAAAATTGTAAATGAGAACAAATTTGTTCTGGGGTGTTAACCTTGAAGCCTTGTTTATAGAAGGCAAAGAGGCATTGCTGCAGATGGTGGCACGGGATGCCTTCACTTCCTTGTCTCCTTGCACAACAACCCTCATGGTACTTCACAAGCAGCAGCTACACTGCTAGCAGTCCCAGCTGTGTCAGGGCACGTCTGGCTCAATCTGTGTGTGTTCTGCAGAGCTTTTTCTCCAGCAGGAATAGGAAACCTCAGGAACTGTGAGAGCGGCAGTTAAAGAGCTGTCGACCTCTGTCCCAGGTGCTTGCGTTTGGCAGTTTCCAAAATCCCTTCTTCCCAGGACATGTGTGCAAGGAGATAGGGGCTGAGGAGTTTCAGTAAGCCAGGCCAAGAAGCTGTAGGGGATTTTTGCAAGAATGAGCCAAAAAAGCAATTCCAGTGACCCCTTGAGCGGGTTCATCACTTAGTATAGTCAAACTAAAGTCTTGCCTTCTCTTCCAGGAGCGTATGACAGCAAAACATGCAGTGGTACATGTGGCTGTGGATCATGCAGGCAGGGAAGAGCTTGTCTTCTGCACGAGAACCAGCAGCAAGGCTCTGTGTTGTGTCTGTGTCCCTCATGCCCACCCCTATCCCATCTTCCCTAGATTCGAGGTTAGTGAAACACTTTTCTTTCTACTGGTGGTGGAGGGACATTGTTCACAGAATTCAGGGCTGCTCCAGGGCTCTCCAAAGGCCTGTGCTTGCCAGGAATAGCAGTGCTGGCTTTGACACTCCAGCCTCCGTATTTTGAAGGGAAAGAAGTCTTTCACTGTGAACTTCTTCTTCCACCCCCAGCCACCAGTGAGGAATATAATTTATAGCTGTTGTTGCTGTGCTACAAAAGCTTTGCCTATAGATGCTTCTGACCAGTCTTGTGTCATTCATCAGCCACATACTTCAAAATAATGAACACCACAGGCACTGAACCACATGCTGCACTGCTCCCTGATGCAGTGCTGGGTGCCTCCTGGCTTCTCAGTGCCATCTTCTTACAGGCTCAAGGATCTGCTTCAGAGTCACTTCCACTGTCAGAACAGTTTGACCTTTGTTACTGCTGTGGTCCCCTCTCCTGGAGGAGCTGTGCTGTCAGTGAGCAGCCCATGGCCCTGTGTGGCAGAGAGGGTTAGAAAGAGACAGTGTCCCTGCCTGCCAAGTCGCCCTGGCTGTGTGCTCCTTTTTGAGATAGGCCTTTTGCTTCTGAGGGAGGACAGAAGTGTTCCGCACTGCTATGCAGAGAACGTTGTCTTGTAACACTTCAAATAAACTGCTCTGTAGTCCACAGCCATCGGCGGGCAGTGAGGTGTGTGTGCCAGATGGCGTTCTCTGCATGCACTGTGCAGCAGTGTGTGTGAGCAGAGCAGGGCAGCTTTGTGACTGCTGGTGCATCAAGAGTGGTGTGCAGGTGCATGCTGCTCTGCCTGGGTGCCAGCCCTGCACAGCATACGGTGTGGAACTGTGTTTATTACTGTTAAAATGACTTTGAAAACTAGCCCTGCACGTTTGTGAAACTCAGCTACAGTGACTGCTTCCTTATTTAAGTAGAGTATTGCTAATTGGTCTGTACTGCAGTGATGATGCGTGCAGAGCAGCTGAGTGAGCAGAGGTGGTTGGTGAGGTTCCCCACAATGATCACTGCCAAGAAAACCTGAACTAACACCCCCTGGCTGGTTGGTTAGCTCTGCTTCTTTGTCTTTGGAGAGCTAGATTGTATTTCCCTCTGTCATAGGCTGATAGTGAGCATGGCCAACTGAAGAGAACAGGCAGCACAGGGAAACCCAGGTGCCAGCAGGATAGTGAGGTGCTGTATCAGACATCAACCTGGATTTGGGAGAGCTGCAGTTGGTGGGGCTGGTTTGGCTGTGCAGGGTGAGCCTCAGCCTTGTGCATAGGATTGCTGTTAATTACTGCCTGCTGTTGCAGCAGGACTCCTCGCCCTGCTTCCGTGAATCACCCACCTTATTAGCCGAGTACCTTTGCTTCCACTCTTCTGTCTCTGGTTAGAGGCTGCAGCTCTGCTGTTTGCTGAAGGCCTGACACACGTTGCCTGTAGCTGTGTGCTCTCTGTTGCCGCCGCCTCCCTTTGCAGCTTCCCCTGTCTTGTTTTCTTCAGCTGTGGCATTTAAAATCTGTATGAGCTCGACTGAAATACTGTTTTTGCACGCATGTGAGATAATGTAATGCGTCTCTGACAGCTTCAATAAAAGGAAATGAGACATGCGGAAGGCAGGCCATTAAGAGCAATAAAATAAACTCGAAAGTGTGGTTTTTTGTGCATCTCTTTCAAGCACACTACTGGCTCCACTTCAATCCTGTTACCTGGGGCCAGTTCCTACATGACACATGCTGTTGATCTCAGTGTTCTTTGTTCTCTCAGTGTATTCAGAGAGCCCCAGGTTGCCTGCTTGCATTGCTATATATGACTCAGTCTCTTGTACTAATTCTTTGCTGCAAATACTTTATTTTCTATACATTTTTACTCCTCTTCTGCAGAGGAGTTACATAAGGATGAGAACAAATGGACTCTAAATGGGATCTAGGTAAATTTCCTATGGGAAATAAAGATCCTGATTTACATTGCATTGTCCTACTGGTTTTTGCAACTTTAAGCCTTGTTTGAGGCTGCTTCAGTGCAGGTAGGAATGGCAGAAAGATGTTTTCTTGCTGCCATTTTTCTACCATAGACAGGCATTGCCTGGTGGCAGCTGCAGGCTCAGGAGGGGCACTGTGATGCTGCTGCCCCATAACCCACACCGTGCCTGCTCTAAAGACACCATGGGTCCTCCCAGTAGAGCAGTTCCCCCTCACCTGGCTGTGGCCCATGCATTCAGGCAGCCCTGAGCCCTGCAGAAGGAGCTGCAGAGTGTCCATCACTGGATCCTCTGTGAGTGTCCTGCCATGCGTTTCCTGCTTTCACCCCTACCCTGGGTCACCTTAAAAGAGGCCAAGCAAGCAGCATCCACCCCTTTTCAGGAACAACAACATTCTTTGAGTCAAATGGTTTTTTATTACAGAACTTAAAAGCCACTTAATTCGCAAACACCGGGTTGGGGTCCCATATGGAGCCTCCTAGCAGGGGGGAGTGCAGCATTTGGCTGACAACAACAACAACAACAAACATGGTTTAGTAGGAGCTATTGGGAATAGGTGAACGGTTGGACTGGGTGATCTTTTAGGTCTTTTCCAACCTTGGTGATTCTATGAAACAGCAGCCATCACCCACCGTGCAAAGCTGTACCAGCACACAGCCCACCACCTCCCTGTGCCCAGTAGTGCTGATGCTGATGCCTCCAGGTGCACAGGGTGCAGGTGTCTGCTCTTAGCATCCCGCCCTCACCCAAACTGTGCAGCAGAAAGGAACATAATGGGTTTTCCCTGAAGGATGAGGAGTGGGTGTTCTGCTGAAATTTCCCCCTCTGCACAGGGTGGTGTTTGCTCCACAGCCTGCACTGAGGCTGTCTGGGCTCCTGTAGTATTCAGAGGGATGGTTTTGCTGCTGTTTGTTGTGCTTGTTTCTGCTTTTTCTCCAGGGCTCAGCCCTTGGTTTTCCAGCAGGTGTGCTCCTGGCCAGACTCCTCCTACAGCTCCAGGTAAGCTGGTTTAGCTGCTGTGCTTTGTAGAGCTGTAATGAGATATGAGTGTGGTTTCTTGGGGTTACAGCCAGCGAGAGAAAGTCAGGCATGGGTAGCAGCAGCTTGTAGGCTGCCAGCAGAATGCTAAGCAAGTTGTAAAGTGTTTCTCCTCCACAACCCGTGCTCCTTGCAGCATGCAGAGTGCACTGCCCAGAACCAGTGCTGTAGTATTGAGCTCTGGGCCTGAGCAGCAGCTTTAGACAACACCTTAAACAAGTGTGAAGCAGTTCTTTAATGCAGTGGTAACAAGAGGCCCTGCAGCCATGACAAGCAGCCAGTCACCACGTGTGCTGCTCTGCTTGATTTAGTGTTGTTCCTTTTTTGTTTTTCCAAGTGATGTGAGTTTTATGGCACTTTGCTGTATGGTGCTGAATTGCCTCTGACACTTCTGTAATACTCCTCTTTTTTTCCTTGTATGTGCAGGTGTATGACTGCAGCATTCCTGCCCAGACGGTGCCCTGCTCGGTGAGTGTAATGAATGGGTTTAATCTCCATCCCCTACAGCTCTTTGGGGGCGTGCTGAGATTTGTATATCTTTCTCTCTGACTTTTACTGAAGAGGGAAAACTTTGTGCATCTGGAAAGGAGAACCAGAGAGGGCTGCTAGTAGCACAGGGAGGCACACCACAGCCACTCAGCTGGATATAGAGCATGGCTCAGGTCTGCTGTCCGTGTCCCCTGTGTGCTGGTACTGCTGCTCCTGCAGTGCTGAGCTGTGGGCCTTGTAGCAGCTCAGGGAGCACTCTGCAGTCTGGCTTTGGCTCTGCCTCCCCATCTGGAAGGGGCTCTGTGGAGGATGAGGTTTCAGCGTAGCTCAGACAGCCAGCAGCATTCAAGTGAGGGTGGAATGAGAACTGATGCAGACTCAGTGTATGTTAGTCTGCACTTTGAGGCATCCCCAGCTGTAAGGCTCAAGGGAGTAAGAACAACAGGCAGCTGAGCAGCAGAGGCATCCACAGCCATAGGGGTACTCTCAACACTGTGCTGAGTGCTACTGATGTGCCTGCCATACAGCCCTTAGGGGCAGGATGAATGACTGTAGTGTCACTAAAAGAAACAATCCTGGAGCCCCAGTGCCCGGGCTGTGCTCCAGCCCTGCAGACACACTTCTGCCCTCCGAGGTTATAGGGCAGAGGCAGTGCCCTGCAGAAGAGTGGCCCTCCTGCCCACACGCAGCTGCTTTGGCCGCTGCTCTGGGGGTGAAGCCAAGGGGAGCCTCCAGCCCGACTGTTTCCTACCTTCGCTTCATCCTGCCCGTATGTCTGTTAATGGGCCTGCCCTGCCTGCATCCTCGGGGACTAATTGCCTCACACTTGAGCAAATGTGCTCCGGGTTTAAAAGGAGTCTATCGATCTGTGCATATTCCTGAAAGCCTCACAGGGCCCTGTTGCCTTTGAAGTGTAAAAACATCCGTCTGTCTCTGCTTTTCCAGCAGTCTCCTGCACCATTTGCATCTCCTCCCCGTTGCATCTCCCCGGCTACCTGCATCCTGCAGCCCCACACGGTGCCTGGCTGTGGCTGCCTGGGGGCTGCAGGAGGATGGGGGCAAAGGTGCAAAGCCCAGTCCAGATGGGAGGCTGAGCTCTGAGCTGAGCTATTTCTGAAGGCCAATTTCCAGTGCTCCCCAGACTATGAGAATGCTCTCACTGTGCTTTGGGCAGAAGCTGGATGTGCATTCATCTGTAATAGGCACGTTTATTAAAAAGGAGAGGGAACAACCCCTGGCTTCTTCCCATCACAGTCCTTAGCTTCTCGTGCAGACTGTGGGGAAATAAGGTAAGACTTGGGCTGCTTTAGGTGATCCACCCTGAAATGTGCAGGGGTGACCAGAACTTGTAGTGGTTCTCTGATGCAGGTTGAGAAAAATCCTGTTGAAATGCAGTGCTGTGGGCAACGTGGCTGTGATTCTCCCCATCCCAATTCCCTGTACACTGGAACTGGGCAGGCTGGCTGTGCTACTGGGCTGTTTAACTCGGGCACAACCGTACAGAAGCGACTGTGCTGGAGCAAGTGGGACTCGTTGGCTGTCCCCGGGGTTGTGGAAGGAGGACAACACAGCTCAATCCAGCCCCAAATTCCAGGGCTACGTGTAGCCTCACCTCCCAGATGGTGCCTTGGGTTTCCTATTTCAATGGGGATTCGGCAGCGCAGCGGTGGCACCTCGCTGTTGGAGGCAGTAAATGGGCTCCCATCTGGTTGTAATGATCAGTAGCACTTTGGTGCTTGTTTATCCTCATGTTCTGTGCTTCGGCAATAAAATACTGCTTCAGTTTGTTCGATCCGTCCCGGTGCTGGATGGAGATGAGTTCACAGTTGCTGACAAAGCAGTCCCTGTACTATGCAGGGTGTTGCTTTTTTAGACAGCCCGGCAGGATCAGATGATGTAGTGACAATGAGAAGGTGATGGGTGGGAAGGGGAAAGCAGCTTGTGTGCACCTAGCAAAGAAATCATACCTTTGGATGGACAGAAAGGGACTGAGCAGGGTTTGGCTCTTCCCTCCTGTACCTGCTGGGCTCTGACATGGAGCCAAAGGCTGTGGGTGAGGGACAGGCACAGGGATCACACAGCACCACTGAGAGGGGAATGAGCTCCTGCTGCCCTTCTGGCTTACGGATACCTGGAAATCTTTGGCCTTCTCATCTCCCGTTCCTGCTGTAGAGGAGCACGATCTCTGCTTCATTTCCCAACGCTGTACTCCTTGGAGGCTTTTTAGCTCTCATCTGTGGGGGATGAAACACACAATTTCTGCACAGAGATCCTTTTTCCCAACTGCCTGTCGTGGCACGCAGCTGCAGCAGGGAGCCGAACAGAGCAAATCTCAGCAAACGAGTTAAACCCCTTCCGAAGCGCTGCGGCTCCGTTCCCGGTTCTGCCGCCTTCGTGCCGACTTTGCCTGGCAGTTCTGACTGAGATGGGCATTTCTCGGGGCCGTCCCAACTGCGTGCCCTGCTGGCTTTACGGGGGTAAGGATAGAGATGCGGTGGGATGCCGTCTTAGGGCGGTAATAGGGCTCACAGTGCCACCCAGTGACCGCGGGTCCCGAAGAGCGCAGCTGCGTTCCCAGCTCTCACCCGGCAAGTCAATTCCCTGGCCACCATAAAAGATGCGACCCCTGGGGAGGGTCCCAGCGTGCATTTTGCTCTGCGAGTGCTCACGAGTCCCAGCAGGGCTCATGGGAGAGCACGGCCAGGCCTGAAGCCCAGCAACCCAGGCTGTTCAGCCCCTGCTGGGGGACTATCCCTGGCTTTAGGCGGCAGCCGCGCTCGGTGGCTTTCTGACTTACACCCCAAGGTTAACGCAGGACCTTCCCTCCTTTCTGCCCAAATCGTGCCTGCATTCCTCTCTGGGTTGAGCCCTGTGTCACGTTCCCAGGTGAGCAAGTGTCAACAGGCAGCTTTAGTGGTGGGGCACAGGGAAAGCAGCCAGCTGGGTGCAGTGTCAGCAGATCCCGAGGTGGCTCCCAGTGCTGCAAACTGCTGCCCCAGCAGTGCCCCAACATGTTTCCAGCAGGGACTGCCTCATGGATGCAGACTGAGGCTCTATTTTGGGTGATGACTGCAGAGCCCACAGAGCTTTTGGCAGCAGGGAGGGCTTTAATCTGCCTGTCCTTCTCCAGGTACATTCTCTCCTTTCTTCCACTCCCCTCCATTTTCTGTAGCTGTCTCAGTGCCACTGCCTTAGGGCTGCAATATGTGGCTGAAACGAGGCCACTGCAGCAAGGGAGGCACGAGTCCTGCACTCTTGATGGATGAAAGTCCTAAATCTTCGCTGTCCTGAACAAGGACTGCAAGCTTTCTGTTCCTGGGTTGCTCCCCAATGTGTCTTTATTCTTGCCTGTTTAAATTTAGGCCAGCATTGGTAACAAGCTGCCATTGCTGAGCAGCACAAACCCAGCATGCTGCAGTCAGAGCCATTTCCATCCCATCACCCACCTCTGGTCATCAG